GATCTGTTCCTCCGCGGAAATCTTCTCGTCGTCCTCGGTGTTCATCCCTTCTCCGGAATATTCCTCGATCCTCCCTCTGGATTGTCCTGGTCCAATCGGGGTATGTACCTTGCCCCATCCATCCGGATCGTCTTCGATCGATGATCCACCCCCGAGCCGAGTGGAGGTGGAGGTTACGCGGCCATGTTGGAGCGGGCGCGCGTGAGAGAGAGCGTGGGAGTCGAGAGAGAAAACGAGGCTAGCGGCCTAAACAACCCTTAAGAAAATTTATGACCCTTGTGAAAGTAAACGAAACTCGAAGCGAAGTGTCGCGAGGCCCTGCTGTGTGTCAAGACCATTGAAACTCTTAACGGAACTAGCTAATTTGGCACGGTCCGTAATAAACAAAAAGAAGGAACGACGGAAACTCCGATGTGTCGTGGTCTTTAGAAAATAAACTAAGTATCTGAAAAGAAGGGCCTTCCTTTCTCTCTACCTTCCCCAGCTTGATCGCCCACGTTGAAAAACATACAATCGTATTGTTTATTACAATACGCTGGTCCGTTTGGATTTCGCTCCTAACTAAAACGCAGTTACATGACTCTGCACTCGACGGTGAATAATCGGGTTACAATTAATTCCCGTTGTGGCGCTATGTGCATTAAACCTACGTTCACGTGATAACGTAACATTACAATTGGAATCATATGCCGATTATCGCGAAGTCGTATTTCAGCTGTTTCTCTTTTAGAAAAGCAAGAACGAAAGGCTGACACTAGCGTTCTTTATCGTTTTCCCGAAATTGTGCGAAGTGCCGAGCTCACGTACACGTGGCTCGTGCGGTAGTATATGCCTGCTATCCCCACCACTCCGTTAGACGCTAAGGAAATTCATTCTCCATTGTCGATTTCGATGCAGTTAATTATGCCCGATCTGGCCACACTGGACACGATCAAACAGGGTTTAGCTAGCCGAAGGCGAGCAGCACGAGTTGACCTGATCCTCGATGTTTTATGTTATTACAACCTTCCATAAAACGAAATGTTATTGTATACTACCTCATTGAATTTGTTTCAAAAAGAGCTGTAATATTATAAACAACAAAATATAGCGTTTCGTTTAAATAGCACATCTAACCTTGAACCTTTCCCCACTACTGCGCACACTAAAAAAATAATTATGCAACATTATGTAACCCTTCGTATCTAATAACTTCTGTTAAAATATTTTTCTGATATTTTCAGTCCCTTCTGAGATATTCCAAAGAGTCCAGTTAAAAAAGACACTCTGTATACTCAGTCGTATTAATAATATACACATGTACGCTAGCTTTCATAAGAATAATAAAATAAATTTCTTTTTTTCAATATGATCAGGGTGGTCTTAAATTTGTCAAAATATTTTTTTCATTTTGGTACTTTGCTTATACAGAGTGTCTTGTTTAAGTGAATACAGCAGGATATTTTGAAAGAAGTTGTAGTTATTAAAAAAATGTTCGTATAAAAGTTGTTTTGTAGGACGGGCTATATCATATAAGTAACAATAGTATTAATTGTTTTCTTGTGGAGAGAGTGCTGGTAGAGATCTGAAGCTCAATCTTATTTTCTTAAATGGAATGCTATATTTTTTTCTTCAGAAAATAACTGCAGTCGAAGATAACAGCATTATATCAAATACTACCTCGTTGAATTTGTTTCAAAATGAGCTATAACGTCACGAAAATAAAATATAACATTCCATTGAAAAAATACACTTGACCTTAAAATCTTCCCCACTACTGCAGATATTAAAAAAATAGTGCTGCTACATTATGCCTTCCTTCGTACCTAACAATATTTGTTGAAACATTTTTTTGATATTTTCAGTCCCTTTTGAGATATTCCAAAGAGTCCAGTTAATAAAGACACCCTGTATATGTATTGGAATAACTAAAACACTACAAAAGGTATAATTATTATCCATGGGTTGATTATGCCCAATGTGTAATCAAACCTTGAAATAAAAACATAAAACTTAAATGTAAAGTTTAATTGAAATTCATTCAGCCATTTAGACTCAACCGTGTTAATAACATACATATGTTCGCGCATACATAGGCACAGTAAAAAAATTATTTTTTTTTAATAGTCACAATACGATCAAGGGGTCTTAAAACATGTATGTCCGTAGAAAAAATTCTCAAAATTCTTTTTTCATTATGGTACTTTTCTTATATATAACACATTTTAAGTCATTAATTATATTTTTTCTATGCATATATTAAACTGTTTTTATATCCTCCCAAGAAGACATTTTCTTTGTTTAGTACATACATTTAAATATTCCACTCCAGTTTCATAACCAAGTATACAATCTTTTTTAAAATTTTCTTACTGCTTATGTAAATCAGAATTATTATGAAAAAAATTGGCTATTGTCAAGAGGAGAAATTTCGTTTCTGACGTAATTGTTAAAATATTAGAAACTTGTTCTAATATTATAGAAATAAATTCTTTTTCCATTTTCAAAATATTTTGATGGAAACTGTAAGCTAATGAATGAACAAATATTTAGTATGCTTAATATATCAATATATTTTTAAAGAATAATTTTAATACAACTGGAAGTTTGTCAATTGATAAAAAGTAACTTTTTAAGGGTGCGTACATGTGTAATGTTCATGCAATTATTGGATACAAAGACAGCCAACAGGTCTTTGAGTGACTTAATTGTTACTTATAGTCAACTGCAATAAAAAATCAAAATTCTTTTAATTTTTCCACTCCAATGATATAAATAGAAAAATAATTATACATTTTGACAAGGATGTTGATAATATTAATAAGCAGACAATCAGCGGAATGTTGAATACAGTTGTTCAAAATGTGGACTGGATAACCACTGTCTTCTAAATAATAATGGAAGCATATCATTTTTGTTTGCATACTCTTGTGAACCAAAATTTATATTGGAATTATCACCTCCAAAAGCATTTTCACATTTTTCTAAACAATTAATTTTCTTTAAAGTATTTGTAAGTAATATTTTAATGGTAGTTACCTTCTCATCTGCTACTAATACCATTTCTACTACTTTATGTTCAATTCCAATACTTTCATGATTTAAGTATTGGATAACAATTAAAAATATTTTTAAATCTTTATGATTGCTATCATCTGTTGCAATGCCTACAAATAGTATGTTTTCTAATTCTTTCAAGATGTTCTCCAATGAATAAGGAGCTACGACTCCTTTAACTAAAGCTTCTGTTTTAGTTTTTGTAAAAGAAATTCATGTTAACACTTCTGAATCATGGAAGAGCTTTGAATTTAATTGATTTGTTTAGTCTACAGATCTGAAACTGAAATGATGAACTACTGTGTGATAACACAATATTAAGTCTGCAACTGCAATTTTATCATCCAATTTAGAATTGTTTATTATGTATTCAGAAATTTGTAAGTCAGCAACTCCAATATTGGATTAAGAGTAGAGTCGTTTGGCGAGTTCCTTAATATTCTAGTAATTCTAGGAATTAATATATAACACAAATGCGAATAAATAAATAAAATCTTATTACAAACAAAACACAAATTTTAATCGTTCAAGCTAAAAAAAAGGATATTTTTTATTTTTCTTCGCTGCAGATAGGGAAAAGACAAAATGTTTAATTATAGGATACATTTTCCCGAAGTAGGACGTTTGGTAACTTTAATCAAAAATGTTGTGAGTTTTTATTTTTTTTCTCTAATTATTTCCATACATCTCGAATAACACTAACGTCAGGTGATTGTGAGGGTGTTTGGATCATTTTCGAATAGTTGTATAATAACAAACTTTTAGCGACATAAGAAGTATGTTTGGGGTGGCTGTCCATATAAAATTTAGAATTATTTAGTATTCCTATTTTTTGAGTAATTTGTTTGATATTGTGTTTCAATTATTTTAAATATCCCTATTTGTCCATTTTTCGTTTATAAATATTAAATTACCGACTCTACAAGGGAATATACATCCCACACTATTTAGGATCTTCCTCCGAATTTTATTGTTGGATAAAGATTTTTAATATTCATTTCTTGTTTGATTTTTTCTAGACATTTACTTTTTTATCAAATGAAAAAAGATTATATTTCAATTCATCTGTAAAAATAACTTTTTTCCAGAAGTCAATATTTTTTTTCAAATACTCCCTAGCAAATTCTATTTGTTTTTTTCTATTTTGTGGACTGCTGTAAGGTTTGTTGCGAGCAACTTGTCCATAGTAATTATTACATTTAAGTACTTTTCTGACAGTATATTTAGTTATTTTTATACGTAAATTTTTGGTGCACTATTTCAGGAATTATTTTTGACAATATTAGTAATCCACTATTCATCTCATGCATTTGATTCTTTTTCCAATATTATTTTTAATTTGTTTGACACATGATTGTTTCTTTCTATATATCTTTTAATTATATATTAAATCGTACTCCTGCTTCTATTAACGGTTTTACCAATTTCGCTATAACTTTTTCCATTGTTATAATAATGAATAACTAACTCTCGCTCTGCTATAACTGTTCAATAAAATTGCAAAATATTAATTTTTGGATCAAAGTCGAGTGTCATAGGAAGCTCCTTCATGACACTTGACCCACTCTGTATTTATTTATGCAATTTATTGTACGAAAATAAATATATGTAAATGTGGTAGTATCAGTATCTTATATTTATACAATTTTAACCACAAACCATGTTATTATTACTAAAGTTGATGAGTATTTAAATGCTTTTGTATACAATTAGTTTTAAAAATATTCCGGCGAAAAGCATACGGTGTTTTCATTTTTCTGTTTCTTCGAAAATTGAAATCAGACTTTATTTAATTAATAATCAATCCATTGTCAAAATATTCTCAAGTCTACAAATTGTACGATGTGCAATATTTACTATGTATCAGTTATTAATTGTAATTGTATTATGGAAAATCGTTAGTCAAATAACCAATTAGCAATGTTACAGCGCATGCGTCAGTATAATCAGCTGTTTTCGTGACAGTTAAATGGTTCCCAGTGCAAAATGTGTATTCTGAGCAAAATGTGGTTTCCTTATACGAGATTATGTTACTGGTTAAAAAGAATTTCATGTAGGGATATTATTGCCCTGGCATGGTAATAAATGATCTTATTATGATTCCATTAATAATTAATTTTTTTCAATAGTAAAGACATTTAATTATACGACATCAGATTTTTAGTGCTATAATGTCTGAGGTGGCGATAGTGATGGTAGTAGAGGTGGTGATAATAGCGGTAGTGTTGGCGGCAACCACAATGATATGGTAGTAAAGTAATGATATTATCGAATATTCATAAAAATACTTGCTGACAGCAAAATTTTTAATGTGATTAGTAATGTGAGACTTATAAAAAATGAGGATTTGCATAACGTGTGTGTATTGGACATTACTTTTTATATCGGTTGCTTCCAGGCAAGTACTTTTGTTTTCTTTATCTTTTATTAACAATTTATACACGTGTAAATGATTGAAGAGTGCCATGTGCTTAATTTTAAGTGTTAGTGTAGTACTTTATTAAATTAGTATTTTATTTAAACATATCTAAATAAGGGAAAGTATAAAGTTACTATTAAATGTTCTGTATATTTGGTATTTTGAATATTCGAAACGTTAATAGTTTTCAGTATATTTGATATTTTAACATTAGCATAAAATTAATTAAAGCTTATATTTATTATTTTGAGGTTCAAAATGAGTTTCATGAAATTTTTTTATTCATTCTAAAACAATAACTCATGCATTATTTTGATAAAAATATTTTAAGGTTATGAATTAATATTGTAAATAGTTGAGATCAAGCTATATTTTTTAATAAATTAGTGTTAAAATAGGTGTCATTTGAAACATAATTAATCGCTTTCACATGATTAATTTGTATGCACAAATATAATTTTAATAATTCTGTATATTATTGATATTTTGATTGCGTTTCAGATTGTGATTGGAACTGAAACAACAATGACAATCAGAATTCTTGAAATTATATTTGGTCATTAAAGTTAGTTGTGTAAAAGAAATTAATTAAATTTGACTTGGTATTAATATTGAAATTGGCTTATTATAATCTACAGCTAGATCAATTGTATTAATATTCAATTTTTATTTAATAAATGATATTTTTCTTCGCAATCACATTTATGTTTAAAATATTTGTGTAAAAATGAAATAAAGTTGCAGTATGATAATCCCATAGAAGAAATGTTAACAAATATAAATTAAATAATAATAATAAACATGTAATTGAAACCAGGGATTTATAACTTTTGTTTGATAAAACCAAATCTGTGCTACTAACTATGCATTTTCAATTGACTTAGTTTTTGTTTATAATTTGTATATTAATAATAGTATTTAGTAATAGATTATTCCAAATTCTTGATTACTATTTTCAATATTTTCATTTATAAAATTATATTGTAATAAGAATATTTAGAAAAAAATTGTATTATACAATATTTATGTTGTGTATTAAAACGTACCATAAATTTTTACTCCCGCGATGCTATGTATTGTTCATTTGAATAGTATTGCCTGGTTTTCATAAATTCTAAATATATACATGAAAGATAAAAACTACTCTAACAAATAACTAAAAATATACTCACAATTTGAATTCTTCTTTGTATTAATACTGTTAACATTTATCTTTCTTCTTTATAACTTTAAAAATTCAACAGAGACTAAATTGTATAGGGAATGTAAATTTGTTTTTCTGATACTCATCTATGGTGTCTTTATAATAGTGGTGAGGTTGGAATAATTTATATATTGCCTTCTATCAAAAGTGTTCTATAAAGTCTTCCCCATGTATTTGTCAATAATATTAAAATCGAGAGAAACAGGTCAAGTGAGGTCTTCAATATTTCTTTTATAAAACCATACTTTTAGTATATATGCTGAGAGTATTGTCTAGAGTCACATGAGCAGTGCATTGTCATTGCATTTCTATGTGTTTCCCTGTCTTGCAATTGAAAACAATCAAGACAGACATAGAAACGCCAATCTTGTCGATCTTCCTTGTTTTAATTGCAAAACAAGGAAATACATAGAAACGCAATGGCAACGCATCACTCATGTGACCTCAGCCTTGGTTGTAGGTATTGCGTTCAATCCACAGTGAAAACTGAATAGTGTACAGTGTTGTATGTACTCTTCTGAGGGTTAAAAAACTTCAATTTTTAAAAAATGGGCATAGTTTATAAATTATTTATATACATAAAAAGTTAATTATTATATGCATACAACACAATTATGTAACCATTTCAGTCTCTTTATAAATCCCGCAAAAGCTGCATATAAAGTAGATGTTGTGAAAATTATAAAGAAGTATCTACTTAAACATAAATCAATGTCTTTTGAAAAAACCATGAACTAATGAACTAAGTAGGTATGTAAAATTGCCACCTAAAAATAGATGATGGGAAATAATAACATATGTGAATGCTATGTCTGTGTTACCATGTTCATAACAACTGTCAAGTTTGAAATGTTATATAAAATTAATTTTCTTTTCTTCTTTGTTATAATTCTTATTTTTCTTCATTTGTATTTATTCCTCTAATTTTCAGCATTTTTAAACAAATTGTTAGTAACTTTAACACTTCTAGTGATTATTCTGCAATTTATTGGTTTGAATATCTTTCTTCTCTCAAAGTATTTATTCTTTCAAACTTTCCAATATTCAACAATATTTTGCAGTTTATAGTATACTGTCTTCATCTGCTTACTGTTAGTTCATAATATATGTAATTTACACAGACTGTATTAATTAGATTGTATATTTATATCACATAAACATCTATGTTGTGTATCTATTAATAAGATTATTGCAAATCTCATAGACACTAGTTTGACTAATACTCATTTGTTGGTTGATCTTTTGTGTACTAATGTTGGGATCTACCAAAGTGTTTATTTAATTCTCAATATTTGTTTGAAGTTTACTTCTTCTATGCTTTTTCTTTTGCACACTTTTAGTTTTGTAAAAACAATTGAAGATATTTAGAATAATTATTCTTTAATTAAAGTACTGTTTTTAATTAGGGTCCTTATAGAGAGCTTGAGTCTGGACAGCATGTTTCTTATATTCACAATATACAATTACACTATCATGCGTTTTGTTGATTGAATAAGATATGAAATTGTGATATAAATATTACTATCTGCAAATTACTAGAAAATAACCATAGCGACGTAGAGATCATAAACTGTGTTACATATGCTGAACATTTTCCCCTAATTTTTCCTCTTCCATTACGTGCATTAGGAAAATGTCCTGCTACATTTTCTACCCTTTGGAATGTAAAGTCAGTTCCTACGAGATGCAGCTGCTCGGTAACTAACTCGAAGATTACCAAATATGGTAATTTCCAACGTACATCTGAACTCATCCCCATAGATTTGTGGGTATATGAACGCAGCGATTTTGCTACTTGGGGGATCAGAATCGTACAGTTACGTTTAGAGTTAACATCACGTCGCTCGTTTCGCTGTCCACGGTTCTGATAGTAGGTTGCAACTCGTGAGATCGGGCTAAAGTTCCCTGTCGTATCATATTTAACCATATAGAATCCGCGAGTCGATATAAATTCTATTATGGCCATTATTTTCAATCGTTCTTACCCCCGCATCACCAGTGCGTCAACACTGCACAATTATTTAAGTAATTCGAATTTTCTTTTAACCCGGCATAATTTACACTGAACATTTGTATATGTATAACTTGTTTCTTTAATATGAATATATCTAGTGTTCATTATTAAACAGAGTTACTCAATTTCTTAAATCCATCATTACATAAAGCGATTACAGTATTTTCTCTATACATACAGTGCCGAACAAAAGTATTGGCACAGAGCGTATTTTCAAATAAAATGTTATGTAGCTGGGAATAAAGCACAATGTCTTCTTTATTTTTGGTATAAAATATAAGTTTGAGGTTTGAACTTTAAGTATCTCGCGAAACAAAGCGGTTAAGTAGACTTGTAATAATGAAAAATAGGAACAAATACACAGAGGACAGTTTTCGACGAAACAAAAGTATTGGCACACTTGTAAATTTAATATTTCTATGAAACACTTATGTAAATATTTATAATATTGGCATGACTGTTGTATCTAGGGAAGTCCCGAGATTCAATTTGATATTCATTTGTTATTTCTTACTAAGTTTGCCTGTAATAAAGTGAATAACACAACAATGTATCGAAAAGCACGAGAAACAACAATTTCAGAGAGAAAAATTATATTAAAATTATCAAAAGAGGGAAATTCATATTCTACGATAGCTAAAATAGTAAATAGAAGTCGTTTCACCGTAAGAAATATCATTAAACGGTTTCCTGGCGAACAAAATGTAAAAAATCTTCAGCGAAGTGGTTGTCCATAGAAATTATCAGAACGAGATAAACGAAACATTACCAAGATTGTAAAAAAAAATCCTAAAGTTGCCTCTACAGAAATAGCGGCACAAATGAAAAGTGAAAATAAGGTAGATGTACATCCTATAACTATCCGGAGAGTTTTTAAAAGTACCGGGTTCGATTCAAGAGTGGCTAGAAGAAAACCATTGATCAACAAAATGAATCGAAAAAACAGATTAGAGTTTGCAGAAATGTATGTACACAAAAATTTAGAATTTTGGGATAGAGTATTCTTCTCTGACGAAAGTAAATTTAATATTTTTAAATCTGATGGTCAAATAAGAATATGGTGAAAGCGTAATACCGAGTTGGATTCGCATAACATAGTTTCAACTGTTAAACACGGGTGTGGTAGTGTATTAGTATGGGGTTGTATGAATTCCACCGGACTTGGAGAACTAGTTTTTATAGACGGTATTATGGATAAATTTGTATATTTAAATATTTTGAAAGAAAAGTTAAAAAAAAGTGTGGAAAAATTAAATCTTGGGGAAAACTACTATTTTCAACAAGATCATGATCCCAAGCATACTGCTTATATTGTCCGCCAATGGATCGTTTTTAATACACCCTATACATTGCCAACCCCTCGTCAATCGCCGGATTTAAATCCGATTGAACATTCGCCGCCCCCAGTAGGCGTCAACAAAGTATCAAGAATCGTTTCTCGTCCACGCTATAGCCGAGCGTTGAGCCCCGAGAGCGTCGCTTCTATAGAGAAAATACTGTATAGTTAAACGTTCCCACAATAATATAACTTTATTAATATATATTTAATAATTTAAAGTTACGAGGCCAACTAACATTTCCTGCGGTTTCTTGATCTTACAACAGATTGTCCCGAACTATCGGAATATCCAAATACAAATTCTTATAACCTAGTGGCTCTTCGATTTTGTATCGAGTTCGTTCACGCAATCTATTAGCATCCTAGCGGCTCCCTGATTACGCATCAGGTTCGTCCGCATCCAACAGCTCCCTGATTTCGCATCAGATTCGTCTTTTTTTTTCTTTTTTTGGACGTGGGGAAATCCTCATGCAGACCCCCGAACCCACCTGAAGGGAGGGCCGGACTCTTACCGGCTAAAACCCCACGGTGATCATCCTCAGGCGCCTGGCGGGGGATCGGGAATTCTAGCGAGCCATCACAGAGTCCCCCGCTGCGCCTGTTCAGGCCCCTCCCGATGGGAGGCACTCCTCTCACCGGATTCCCATTCAACTGCAGGCGCCTGGTCACCAGCACCCGCGGCCCTGTGACATGGGACCAGTGTGGCCAGATCTGACATAATTGAGTGCATCAACGTCGATATTAGTAACGACGAACTTCCTTAGCGTTTAGAGTGGTGGGGATTAGAGATGGCGTGAACTGCTATTTTTGAATCAGTCGTGATTCAATCATGTTCATTTCCAATCATGGTGATTTTTCACAGTGATTCGTGATTCTTCGTGATCGCTTTTGATTGTTGGGGAGCATTTTTTTCACTTTTCACGAATTATGTCTTTAGACTGTATATGTATTATATTATAATTTAGTCTAAAAGCAATGTTAACATAATTTTCTTATTAGGAGAAAGAAAAGGAAAAATTAAGAGTGATAAATAGATGTAAGTATAAGTTTTATTTCTCATTGTTTCAACGTTCGTTTCATAAATGTTCGTGAAATTTTTCAACAAAGTAATGTATACGCAAAACTAACCTGTTCGTAATTTTAAATTTTAACTTATTTCTTTATAATATAAATATATACAAAAGGTTTTCATATAAATGAACCTAAGAATTTTAATTGTTGATGATTTTATATTTTTCTTATTTTTAAAGCGAGTGTTTTACACCTACTTCTTCTTAGTGGCAACAAACTTATCATTTATTTAAATAATCGTCTGAAACAATTTGACATTTGAAATATACAAAACATGTAATTAAGCAGCCTTTTTCATTGTTTAGACTACATTAAATTTGGCGCATTTGTAATTCTTTGAATTTCCACTGAGGGGAGTTACTAACACACACGATCACAATTAACGTAAACTGCTACTAAAACGCCATCTTTTGGATCACGGTCGTGAATGGAGTTCAATTACGAGCGTGATCGTGATTTTGTGATCACTGTGATAAATCACTGTTAGTGATTTTGCACGCCATCTCTAGTGGGGACAGCAGGCATATACTACCGCACGAGCCACGTATACGTAAGCTCGGCACTTTGCACAACTTCGGGAAATCGATAAAGAATGCGCGTGTGAGCCTTTCCTTCTTGCTCTTGTAACAGCTGAAATACGATTTCGCGATAATCGGCATACGATTCGAAGTCTCGACTGTCCCAGCATTTTTACTTTCCAACCTATGTAGGCGCACATAAGCAAAGTATCCATAATGAAAAAAAGGTATATGGAAAGTATTATAATGAAAAAAAAATTTCGAAGTTTTTGGTAATTATTTAAAAAAGGTGGAGTCTCACCGATTTCGATGATTTTTGAATATGTTGTAGAAATCAAGATTTTGAACAATTTTTTCCTATTCATATAACCGCTGCTCGGCCTTAGTTTTCGAGATTTTTCTTTAAAAAGATTGCTACTACTTTACAACTAATTCTGTCTATATGTACATGTCTGTGGCTCTGTATGCGTCAGTCCACGATCGTCGATTTTTTCTCTTGTTTGTATTAATCGGCATGACAATCGATGACAAATAATGTACAGTGTGTCAAGCTAAATCTAGTTCTGCATTGGTATCGTTATTAAACGCATTGCTGTCAAAGGTTTGAATATTCCGAAGTATCGAACTCGCCAAATACATTATGTAGGCTATTTAGCTGAATTCTTCTTCCATCGACAATATGATTTTAATGATCGAATAATGAAATTTTTCGAAATAATGGCTGAAATCTTTCCCACTTCTGATAATATCAATTAAAAAAATTGAAATAGAAAATGAATCGTGTGGCCGACCACCTTACGGCGGCCGGTATAAGAAAATCTAACCCAGACCTAATTCATTATATTAGTTAATAGGTAGAATAGTTAGGTTTGGGTTAGGTCTGGGCTAGATTTTTTTATACCGGCTGCCTGACGACTACTCAAATCGTGTTTTTAAGCACACCCGTTATACGCATCCATTGCCGGCCGCCTCGATGTATCTATAGAAACAATAAACAATCGACGATTCAACGCTTACACACACGCTGCCACAGGCACGTACGTATCTCTTCTCTGTGTGAAAATCTCGTCGGGCGAGTTTTAATATGCCCTTCTGGATTTTCATAAGACAGGTTGAATCTTATTCAACGTAAGGTGTTCGCATTTCCATAAGTGGACAAAAATCTAAGGCTGTCGAGAACAAATTGCTATTCTTGATTTTCGTCTTATTTTGGCCTCTAGAATCTTTCATTAAAATTCTTCCCAGGGGTGGCCGAACACCCTGTATACGATACTCTGGTAAACTTCTTGATATGTTTCTCATTTGCTTTTTCAGTTTATCAGATTCACTTTCATTCCGTTTTCGATAAGAAAAAAGCGAGGACTGTCCACTCAAAAACATCTTCTATACGTTAAATTTTTTCGTTGATTCGAATAAATACTATATTTTGAATAAAATCAGTTATATCATCTTTAAATGTAATCATAGTATGTATGGTTAAATATAACCACAGCAGTATGAAATTGTATGATTATTATATTTTTATTCAAATTAATATTTTAAATAAAATTCATACTTTTATAAGATTTTAAAATTGTTTATTTCTGTTTGTCATAGTGCACTCTTGTTCATCATTGTAGCATCAGAAAGTGCACAAACAACGTATTATATGTCTTCGAAGAGAAATGAAACATCCGAGACTTACGATAATGTTACATTGGATAGCATGGAAGGTGATAGTTTAGAATCACCCAATATAGCTATCGTCAAATTGAAGGATCCAATCAAATTAGAGAATAATTACAAGGATCATTATTATCAAGTAAGAATTCAATATAGAAAATACCATATCTTAAATAATAAGATTATTGAGAATTATTAAAGTACTCTTTGTGTTTGCATAAAATTTCTTTTGTAGTTTTATAAAAGTATATAATTTTTCTTTTCAAAAATTTAGGAAAACTTTGCTAAAAAGCTTACCAAGTCTGAAACCGTTAAACTTGGTGAAGCAACAAAGAAAGATAATATTTACAAAAATGTAGATTTTGTGGCCGAGAGTCTTCCTCAACAACCCAATCTATCTCAGGGGTAAGTTTTCACTTTGTATCAATATTACTGAAGATAATTTCATTACAATATATCCTGTCAGATTGTCGCGATTTATTTGTGTTAGAAAGTTATTCCTACCAGTTTTTCGAATTATTTATATCGAGCGAGCCATGAGCAACGAGGTGATACTCTTGTCATTGTTCCTCACCCTCTTATCGGCAGGGACATGTACTGAAATGCGAAATACCGGTATTTACCACTTTTATACTTCCATAACCCTTATAGAAATCGAAATACAGAAATACTGGTATGACTTTCATGTTGCTATGTGAAAATATCGATATACAATATTTACTGGCTATTTAATCGGTTTCTCTAGTTCATTACAATTCTCAAAATTTGGTTTACGTAGAAATCTAAATCCAGTACTACATTTTTATCATAATTACACTCATCGCGAAGAGTATGTTGACAAGAATAAAAAATGTAACTTTTCTTAGCCAAATCGAAAATTTGAATTTGTAGGAGGGTGGGGGTAGAGGATATTATATCATATTATGATATTTTAATAACAACGAAAAGGATATTTTTGACAATACCGGGAAGGAGAGTTGCGAGGTTCACTGGAGGTATCTTTTCGGTACACAAAAGTTAACCCTGAGAAGGACTGTCGGTTTATTGTTCAGACAAAATCGAAGTGTTCTTATAAAGATCAAGTGGTTCGTCGTCGGAGGACTCCGAGACAGTGTGGCCAGGTTTGGCATAATTGAGTGCATCGACGTCGACACCAGAAACGACAAACTTCCTTAGCGTCTAACGGAGTGGTGGGAATAGTAGGCATATCCTACCGCAAGAGCCACGTGTACGTGAGCTTGGCACTTCGCGCAAGTGTGAGTCTTACCTTCTTGCTCTTATAATAGCTGAAATTCGATTTCGCGACAATCGGCATTCGATTCCAAGTCTCGATTTCCCCAGCATTTTTACTTTCCGACCTATGTAAGATATAAAGAAAGTATTATAATTGTTGCGGCTCGCAGTATCCGATGGATCCAATTACAATCCAACGTCGGGCTCGCATCTTTCCGAAATAAATTAATATTCCGGATGGAGGATAGTGAGTTTTTTGAGATTGAGTTTTCTGATCTTTATTTGCACACAATTATGAATAATAAATGATGGTTGACGATAATGTTTGATATATGAGATTGTAAGAAAGAAGCGATAATGCTGTTTGGTTCGACTCTTGTAACGAACTGATTTGAAGAATGCTCCGACGCCGTCTCCTCCCTTCCAAGCACCCTTACAACGATTCCCTTGGAAGGGGGTGCGTGTCACGTCGAAATGAAGACATCGCTTGAGGACGCTGGGGAAAGTTGTCGCTGTTTGTCGACGATTAAGTCAACTTTCCCCAAATGTGCAGTTAGGGGGGCTCATGGTATAGGGCTGGTGTGCAGATGTGAAAATTGAAGAAAAAATGTTCCTTACCATGAACCTCGTTTTGAGCGCGAATTGAAAGAGAAGTCGATTTCGCGCTCAACAATAATGAAAAAAAAATTCGAACATTTTTTTAGCAGAAATACTCGTGTTACAATATTATATGCATGTTTATTATAATGACGAAAATGGAGTATGAGAATATATATATACGAGGGTGGTGCCAGAAATACCCGGTCTGAGGTGTAGATGGCGGTTATTGTTTAAAACAAATGACTATGGTCGAAAGTACCAACCTTACAAAGCTTAAGTTTCAAGTTTGAAGACGCTACATTGTCTAGTATTTGTTTGATAGCCGTTAATAGTGAATGCTCTCAGTGAATTTGTAAACATGGATAAAATTGATCATCGTTATGTGATTCAATAATTTCATTTGAAAGGTCTCAGTCCAACCAATATCAAAATTGAGCTAGATTCTACTCTAGAGGAGTCTGCTCCTTCATTTACAACAATAAAATATTGGGTGGCATAATTTAAACGAGGTCGTACGAGCTGCCAAGACGAACACCGCAGTGGTCGACCAAATGAAGTGACCATACCGGAAATCGTGGAGAAAATCCACAAAACGGTATTCGATATGAACACACATCGACTGAAAATTTGGATATGAGAAAGCTGTGCGCAAGATGAAACAAAAACAGCGTCGTGAGGATGTTTCAATTGAGTGTTTGGCGGTGCCGCGCGGCGCGATTTTGGTACAGCATCCGCATGTGTATAACATATAAAATTAATATTATAATATATATAATATATATTATGTACATGAAGTTTTTTAAATATTCCATAAATATTTTTGCTTTAATTAAAATAAATAATCTAAACAAGGTTTACCTGCTATTATTTTTATTGGCAGCATTAATAACTTGGTTTGTTCTTCAATCTTCATCGCTGTCATCATTTATTACAGGATTTACTTTTTCACTTTCAAATAATTTACTCAGTATTTCTGCAGGTTTTATTATTTTTGAAGCATATCTGGCATGCGATAGATAATAAATTATCGCAGCTATATGGGAGCAGCATCCAATTGTCCTGTTACCACTTGCACATTCACAGAAATATCGTCTAATTCCCGAGTAGCCCGTTAAATTTGATGTGTAGTCTATGTAGCACTTGTACAGTTTTTTATTAATATGTCGTGATTGCACTTTGAACTGAACTATATTTTCGTTTTGTTTTAGATAACAAAGATTTATTTCGTTTTGCTCATTCATTATTTCGGCAAGATAGGATATTGCTTGGGAAAATTGATACGATCCTGTCAAAAATATTTTCAAATCTTGTTCGATCATTTCTGGGAAGTCGAGTAAATCGTTTATTGTTATTTTCTTGAATGCAGCTTTTCGTCTGTTTAAGTTTTGCGATTGTACTTCCATACCTAGTGAATTTTCTTCGTCCTTTCTTTCTGAAAATCTTCTTACTATTTCTTCAGTGCACCCTACATCGGAATGTAATCTTTTGCCAAACATATTTTGCAGGAAACAGGCAATGCGGCAGTATGATTTGACTGCTGGAAGTAATTTATTATCCAGTTGGTGATGCAGCAGGCGATATTTCTGCCCTATTATGCTATGGATAGCTTCAACGACCCAACGCACTTTTGTGACTAATCTTGAATAATTAGCTTCTGCAGTGGTTAGTTGATGCCGCTTCCCTTTCAGAGCTGGCATTAGTACTCTGAAGCCTTCCTCTTCTAGCCGTGTCTTCACGTCCCGGAAACCTCGATCGACAATGCATATATCTCCTTTCTTCATTAATGATTGTAGACCATTCCTATCTTCCATGGCAATCTTCATGATCTCGGCGTCATTTTGCGTGGCGTAGAATGGTCCTAATATCTCAACAATATATCCACTTGTTGTGCAAATTGTGAACGGTTTGCACAGCGGCATCTTTTTCTGTCCCGATCATGTCTTTTAATTGTATGAGATTTTCCCAAGTTAATCCGGTTAAAACCTGAAGGCGTTCATCCGACAACGTAAAATCACCTATTTTATTCTGAAGGGTTGAATCACAATTTGCCGAAAGATAATCGAAATAATTTTTTATTTCATCAACGTCAATTAGTGCGGAATTCGAATGGATTCGTAAATTCATCATATCTTCTCGATACAAACGCTTTTTTATTAAATGGGTAGAACAACACCGATTACCTTTTGGTATATATATTCGCCTTGAGATAAACACCTGTTTCCTCGTTTCATGTGGTACATTGATGACGTTTGTCGCAGCGCCACATATGAAGCAATATTTATGTGTTGCAATAACCCTCGGGAATGGCATTTCAATGCATTCAGTTTCTCCTGTTGTATTGCCTGCATGAGTAACATATGTCGGATCTTCTCTTGATGAAACTGATAGATCAGATGGGGATGAAGTATTATTCGAGGTATTCGTTTCTTCATGTAAAGATGGATGTTGAGGAGATTCTTGAAATGACGGAACTTCAGAAGACGGTTGATAGTGAGAAGTACTAGGAACTGCTGTATCTTGTTCTTCGGGGGACACATTTCTTGTTCTTCGATATATGATCATTCGACATTTATTGCACAGTACGTCACCAACAACAACTACTTTTCCTAATATTTGTGACCACTGATTAGCTTCGGTTGTTGTATTACTTTTCTTCTTTCGGCTGCATAATTTAAACAATGCAGCATTGCATTTAATACATCGTATATGCTTCGTATTCATGTTGCTGTTTTTGTATACATTTAAACGTTAATATAATACACTGCCACTAACACACTTTCACATATAATAATGTATATAATATATTATAATTATATAAATCTATGAGGAACGGCACAGGACTTACCCCAAAACCGTCAAAGGCAAAACTTCTAACATATACATACATATATAAATATGCGTTGTAACCACGCTGTGTGCGTCTATGTGCTTTTTAATATAATAAAGTGTTATATTTATAATATTATTTGAATTAGTCTCATCCTCATCTTCCTATTTATCAGGACTTAACATTATTCAGATTCAGACAAAATGGTGGCAATGTCGCGCATGCTTTACCAAAATGATCAGCGCGTCGCGCTGCGCGGCGCCGCGCCATAGCGGTTCTAATCAACAGGAGTCCAGTACCACACGTACATATTTGAAACTACATATAGCGACCAGTTAACAAAGTATATAAACAAATATATTTTAATTACATCTATTTTAAAAGCATGTGTGGCCTTTTTCCGTATGAAAAATTAGGAAATATGAATTCATAATTTTTTAACAATAACGCACTTTTCCAAAAAATCTGAAAAGATTACGCATCAATAGTCACAATATTACGTTATAGCTGCAAAAATATGAACATGGTCACGTAAGTAATTAAGACAATATAAAGCTTTTTCGCCATTTTTTAATCATTTTTTAATTTTTTTACTACGTTTCACCCCTTCGAAAAATCTGAAAAAATTAGAGATTACTAATTCTTTTGAGAGCTTTATACAGTATGAAAACAAATGTGGTCACTTGATAACTTCTACAAAAAATCGACGGTTAAAATATTTTCGAATTTTTTAAAAATCGAATTT